TAGTATTCAAAAAATAACAAATAAAAAAAAAAAATCGCGCACAATTTCTAATATAAATAATTAATGAATGCTTGTTTACCAATCCAGAAAAAAAAAATTACCCCAAAGCCCCCCCCCCCCCCCCACCTTTTTTTTTTTTTTTTTTTTTTTTCCAAGAGTAACAGAAAAAAGTATAATAATACTAATTCTCACATTCTTACAAAAAAACTTTTTAGTGTCCACACAGTATTTGCAGGAAAAGAAAAAAATCCAAAACAAATGTTGTTTATATACATGTATTTTGATGTTTTGTTGTTGAAAATGGGTTTCTTGTCTAGTGTGCCTTTGTCATAGGGAATGTCTAATAAGAATATCAAAAAACGCATCAAACTTCAACCGTAACCCAAAAAAACACAGGGAGCTTGGCTCAGTTGGAAGAGCGCAGGTCTCATACGAAATATCAAAAAAGTATGATCTGGTTAAACATCAGAGTAATCCTGAGGTCGTGAGTTCGAGCCTCACAGTTCCCAATTTCTTTTGGTGTTTTTATCTTTATCCTTTTTCAGTTTTGATTCCCATCATATTTTGTCATTTTTGACTTTTTTTTTTTATTTTATTCCCACGATAAAAGGTCATCTTCTCCCTGGCTCTATTCTTCAAATGCCTAAAAGTTAGACATAGACTAGACCAGTTTCCCTTGAAGAGCTTCTGAATACAGGAAACGCCATCCCGCCCCAAAGAACAAAACATCAATCCCATAATGCCATCCTCGCAAATCCATGCTGTTTAAAGTGCCATGCCCCAGCTGAAACTATCCCGAACAAGAATGACGGACAGCTTCTCTCTTGTTTCGTCCCTGAAAACTAAAAAAATAAAAAATAAAACTTTACCAACGAACACCTCCACCCTTTCCAACAACCTTGCCCTCCCATAACTCGTCCCTTCCACCTTCCTTCTTGCCACCACCACCTCCTTCATCACCCAAAACCCTCACCAACCCCCACTTCCTCCGTTCCGTCAACCACCTATCGGTCCACCCCTTCATCCGCTTCCTGCTCGCCTCGCTCCCGACGTTGACGGTCGGAATCACCTTCTCAATCCTCAGAGCCATCAAAAACACGGCCAGCTCCCGAAAGCTGCTGTGCTCGCTGTACGGAACCCCAAAACACATGGCCTCCCTCGTGCTCCCCCTCTGCGGGACCAGATCCCTCACGTTGAAGCTCGTCTTCCACCCGGAGCCGTGCAGGATCTGGGCGGTTGGCAGGCTTCCCGGAGCCAGATTGGCCGGGGCGTTCTTCTTCCCGTCCGATGGTCTGTAACTCCACCCCGAGGGCCGGAAACCTATCACCCTCGTGAAGCCGTTGGATCGGTGGGCTTCCAGGTACTCTGCCAACGTCTCGGCTCGAAGCTCCATAAGCATTTGCATGTGGACCTGCGCTTCCCTGGGGTCCGAAGTCATGAGCGAGGCGAGCTCGGGGTCGTCTAACTGTTTGCACATGCGGATCTTGGCCGGGCTCGCAAAGATCTTGGTGCGCAGTGCCTGGGCTATGGCTACGCAGATGCGTTCTTTGCCTATGCTGTAGGTGCCGCAGACCACCAGGAGGCGGTTGCGCTGTGTGGAAGGGTCGATGGCTGTGAATGCGTCTGGTACAGTGGGGGGAGGACCGGAGCCTGGGGTATCTGAAGACGGGGTAGTGAAGAACTTGCTGACGTTTGCTGTTCCTCGTGGTGCACCGCCTTCCCTGCGATGTAGGAGCGAGTCCCATTCGCTGCTATCGTTTGCAACGAGCCCTTTATTGAGCAACGCGCATACCTCCGCGCAGGATCGGATAACATCGTTTTGAGGAGGGAAGGAGTATCGAGGGTTCAGGTAGGTGGTATCGAGGTAGCAGACATCAATCTTTTGCTGCCTTGTTTTGCCGGATATTGCGTCGACCGTCTGAGGTCGTAGCTGTGGGTGCTCGACATGGGCAGGACAAGCTCGAAAGTCGCCGCAATGGAGAATGCGCTGAGTTTTCCCACCCGTTGCTTTTTCAAAAAGAAACAAAGAACTGCCCGGGCAATGGTTTGCAGGTATCATGGTAACCGTTACGCCTGGAATCCCCGGCACCGGCACCGTCTTCTCAAACTCGAGTTCAACAACAAACTTTGCGGCAGTTTTGAGCTGTGATTTGACGAGCGATCCCGTCACCTCACTGCAATATATTGGTCCATAAGTCCAGGTAGCGCTCAAGCCAATGTAGTGGTCGCTATGAAAGTGACTGAGGAAGTAGGCTTTGCATCCTTCCACCGCACCATATCGGAACGCGTCGACGCAGATTGAAAATCCAGGCATGATTTTGTAAAACGGGCACGTCCGTTTATAAGCCGGCATTCCTCTAGACGCTTGCTCGGCCGAGGCAGCCGAGGCCCAGGCGGAATCCTCAGCGTGGCCAGACATGAGCTTTGCAAAAGCTGAGGAGGAGGACCCTCCCGATGCGTTGCCGCTCCCTTCCACAAGGCTGAACGGATTCGCTTGTCCGGGTCTAGCAACCGCAGCTTTGGACGCAAAGCCTTTGCGCACCTCTAAACCTACTTCTACTTTCGGCCCATTTTCGTCGTTCTTTTCCTTACCCTTGATGACTGTTGGCAAAGGGGTCGGGTTCCCATCCAAACAGGAATTAACATGCGCCGTGGCCACCGACTCCGTCAAGCCGTTCATGCTGCCATTGCAGATTGGGCATCTGCTCTCTTCTTCTTGTTCTTCTCCTCCTCCTACACGGCCCCCACCGCTGTCATCAAAATATTCTTCCGCCTCTAACCTCGCCTGCTCCTCCATGGCGCGCATGACCTCGTACTCCTCACCAGTGAAATCTTGGCCGTATTCTCCTTGTTCGTCAAAGTCACCATCAGGGAAGTCTTCGATGTCGTCGCCGTCGTCGTTATTATCGTCATCTATTATTTCGGGCCCCCACCGTTCTCGGATTGGTTTGGTGTCGACCGCCCCAGAGGTCTCATGTCTTAACAAGGGCACAGCGACGGCCGGTTTCTCGACGTTGCTTCCGCTGCTCTCATTTTGCGCTATCCTTTTGTTTTCCTCGCTGGTAAGTTTGCCATCCGAGACGGAATCCTCGACGTTTTGCTGGGGAAGGGCGTCAGTCCTCACCCTTGGTCGCTCGTTTTCTTTATCCTCTTTCTCATCATCATCATCATCTTCTTCTTCTTCTGAGGAAGAAGAATCATCCAAAAAAGGATTGGCCGTTTTCCTCCTCGCAACAGCGGGCTGCTTTTTTTCCGACATTGATTTTATCAAAGGCGACCCCTCCTCCCCTTCCTCCCGGTGCTCCCCTTCTTTTTCTTTTTCTTTTTCTTTTTCTTCTCCTTCTTCTTCTTCCCCCCTCGCTAACGGGAAATCCGATTTCAAATCCGGCTCGCCCCCGCGAGTCTTTGACTTGATCCCCGAGGGAGGACTCGACCCAACCGGCCCTGTTGTCGACAGCTTCCTCCTCTTATTACACTCGACCTCGACCTCATCTTTTGGTTGCCGTCGCTTCCCCGCCGCCGGACTTTCTGCTCCGTATATATCCTCTTCTTCCCGTTCCCCTTCATCAACATCCCCGGCCGCCCCGGCCCCGCCCCCGCCCCCACCGTCGTCCTTTCCCTCGCCAATAAACAATGTCTCGTCGGCAGCCTTCTTAAAGTACTTTAGTATGCTCGCGTTCGGTCTCGATTTCGCAAACGGGACGTTGCCCTTCTTGGGTGTGGCGGCGGAGGCGGCGGTATTGGCATTGTTCTTGTTGCCAACTTTGCGGGGCGTCGTCTTGCCCGTCGAAGTCAGCTTGGCCTGAGCCATGGCGGCGGCGGCATGAATTTAAAAGTAATACTTTGTGTTCCTTTTCTTTTCCGCCTCGTTGATTGTGAAAGGGGGTGGGAAAAAGTCGGGATTTTTATTCTTGTTGAAAAGTGCAAAAAAGTTTCTAGTTGTATTAATTAAAACCTTATAACATGGCATTGCTTGGAACAAAACGCGAAAAAAAGTGGGATGTTCATGATTTGGAGAGAGCAAAAACGCCACTTCGCGTCATCACGTGAATGCATTTAAAAAGATCAAAGAGAGGAGAGAGAGATAAGAGACCATTTATAACTCAATTGCAAGATTTACCCATTAGAACGGGACGCAGAACAAAGAGTCAGTAAGTCAGACAGCAGGTCAATCCTCATTAGATCTACTACATGTCTCCCCAAAAAAAATTATTCGCTGAGTGATGGTCTACTGTGTCCGCGATTGGGCTCAATAAACCTTCTTTTTCCCAAACCTAATATAATAACTCCTGGCCAGAGAGAAAGAGAGAGAGTGTGTGATTAGACCCCAATGTAACATCCGTAAATACAAATGGCTCTCATTCCAGTGATTCGTACTAGCATCCTCTCCTCCCATCTATACCTTAAAACCTTCTTACTCCTCCGCCTCAACTGGCGCCTCAACTTCCTCATCGTCCTCGTCCAAGCTACCAGCTGGCAAGTTGTACAGGCGAAGGATGTTCTTGTTGGGATCCTTGACGAGTATGTACTTGCCCTCAGCTTGCTGCAAGCACATATCGGCGATTGTCCTCACGATACCCCAGCCGTTGGACAACTGCAGGTTCATCTGGTTGGCAAAGTCCCTTGGCTTCCAGCCAACAACACCAAGGATGACGTGTCTGTCGTTGCTCTTGGGGTTCACACGGGAAACGAAGCTGTAGAGTGGAAAAAAAAAAAAAGTCAGCAAGCATGGTCAACAACCTAATTTATACAGAGGCGAAAAACGTAGTAAATAAAAACTCACCCAAGCTTCATAACATCAGCCTTGGCCAAGATGCTCTGCACGGTCCATCTGGCGAGCTTGCAACTGTTGTTCTTCATCTCGGTGGCAACAACAGCACCGCGCTGAGAAACGAGCTTGGTCCTCCAGTCCAGAGCACCACCGCTGCCCTGAGCCTTGCTATCAAACTCGTTGAGCGCGTGGACGGTGACGAACTGGTCCTCGTTGTTGATGGCGTTCTTCTGAACGGCATCCACCTCGGTACGGACGACGAGGTACATGGGATCCTCATCGCTGGTGGAGAGATCGAACCGGCGGTACTTGTAACCCTTGGAAGCAGCCGGGACCTTTTCCTCCGCCGAGTAGAAGGGGTTCTCCTTGGCCATGTCAACCTTCTTGTCCTCGAGCACGACCTGGTTGGCGAAGTTGTGGTTGATGTAGGTGGCCTCGTCAGCCAGAGCGCCGGGGTGGTTGATGTTGTCCTTGGAGCCCTCGGAAGCCTCGAGAGGCGCATCGGCGGCGTTCTCGTTGACGGTGACCAAGTCGAGCGCGGCATTGTCGCGCTTGTCGAGGAACACCTTGTTGCCGACGCGATTGATGACGATATCCCACGAGTAGACAGACCGGGGGGCGCACATGAGCATCGAGAGGATGCTATCCGTCGCGAAGATGGTGGCCTCGTTCTTCTCGGCGAGCTCCTGAATGACGGGGTCGACCGAAGTGGTGACGTTGTAGGCGGCACGGTCGAGA